GGGGGGGGGGGGGGGGCGATAGGGAGCGCGATTACAGCTTGGTCTTTTCTAGGTTCTCCCAGGAGAGAATTATATATATATATATATATATATATATATATATATATATATATATATAGTTTGTATTATTTAGCATACTCTCCGCAATTATAAAGTAAAATATTGTTTTAATTAAATTATATCCTAATTTAACCTATTCCAATGTTACGTAATAGAAATGTCAGTTATCATCAAAGCTATAGCTGAAAGCTAATAATGCATTAAAATGCAATTATTTATTGTGTTGTTTTAGGGCTAGATATTATTGGGAAGCCTTGACCGATGATTTAACTTCTAAGTTTAATTCTGCTTTAGTCTTACATGCTGTCCTTATATAAATAGATATATCTTACATTAGACATTAATATTATTTTATATATTATATTATTTAATTCATAACAAGTTAAATGGATCACTGGCAAAGATGAAAATATTAGACGATTGAAAAAATAATGTAATAATATCCTTACGTTTATGAAACAGCCGAGCGAGGCACTTGTGTTACCTGCAGGTAAGGCTCAGGTAAGTGTTGGACTGTACAAGGGAGACGGGGTCACATTCAACGGTGGATGGTTTGTCTGTCGTTGAAAGTGTATTGTTGGTGGTTTTACATTAAGGCAAGTCTCTCTCACACTCTATATAGGTTCTATAGATACAAACACGACACATTAGTATAGAGATACATATGCACACACACACACACACACACACACATATATATATATATATATATATATATATATATATATATATATATATATATATATATATATATATATATATATATATATATATATATATACTGTTTAAACTAAATAGATACTAACCACTGATACAAGACTGACCTGTTGATGTAAAACAATTAAATTTAGTTAATCTAAATATTTAGTCAGGTCTAAATAATATTTCCTTACTGCAGTTTACACCAGTTTGTATGTATAACCTAACATTGTCCTCATACACCACAATAACCAGTCTATAGTTGTTCAGTTGGTATTTGTCAGTTGAAAGACGTCCAGTTGACAGACGCCCATTTGGTTTTTCCAACTTTTAGCGTAACCAAAGTGTCTTATTAACTTCTTGGAGCTAAATACAAATTTATATTAATCGAAATCCATAAATCTTCTGCGAATGAATCAGAGAAAAGAATTCTCAGCAAACCACCTCCAAGTAGAGTCAGCATTAACCCAATAGGCGCCATACGTATGAAAGAACGTGAAGTGTGAAAGACGGTAATAAACAGGTCGTTAAGCTTTTGTAAGACCAATCAAAATTAATGGTTTATACGGCTTTAAATTACAGACTTATTGATAGTTCAATACAAGAGCATTTTGTTTACATTGATACTCTAGGAAGTTTAAACCCGAATATGAAACTTTTTGGGTTTTTCAATAAGAATTATTCGTGAGGTTACCCGATAGCTCGGGGTAGATTTTGTAACGTATTTATGTTAGGAAAAATATCAGTGCTATGTTTAAACACTTTGGCCGGTAGGTCAGCTAGAATTATATTTCTAGTAGTTTAACCAGCTAGACTAAAATATCTGCCCAGATAATCAGCTACACTTACATGTCTGCCCAGATTATCAATAAGACTTACTTGTCTGCTCAGAGAACAGCACTAAAGTCACACATAACATCCAAAGTCTGCACACCATTGCGCTGAACTCGTGTCTTCTGTATTATAATTAAAAATTCATTAATGATTGGTATAAGCACGATTTTTTTTATAAAATGCAGCAAAATAAACCTTTCTATAAAACAGTTAATTTCTCCACATAAAAAGAAAAAGAAATAAGTTAAGATACATGTGATTCATTTCTATTGTAATATAAACTTGAGTATAGTTAGTGGTTATTTTATTCAATTTACAGTTTACATTTAAATTCTACACACAGTGTTATAGGAAACAATGTTATAAACAGTTTAGTTAATGATAGGCTGGACTAGGTATATATTAAAACTTTACATACACGAAGTTATTCATAAGTACAACAACTAATGTTGACATCTAGTTAAAAATTCTGTGTTATAAAATGTGTGCTTAGACTACTGATACACATTTTTACTTTCTCATATATACGAAGTAGGCCTATAGAGTAAGTATTGTTATCGTGCAAAAAAAAATCGAGATTTTTACAAATCTCGACGTTTAACACCTCACTGATACGGAAAAACATAATTTTGCAATCTTATCCGTATGTCTGTGTGTCTCTCTGTATGTGTGTGTGTCTGTGTAAACACGATAACTTGAGTATCGTTACAGCTAGGTTGATGAAATTTCATATATAGGTATTTTATCCAAAATCGCCGATCCGTATCAACTTTGAGCGATTTCCAATAACCGAAAATGATACTTTTTCTACTTTGAATTTTTCAAAAGCCTATAACTTGAGTACTATTTTAGATAGATGAATGAAATTTCACACGTAAGTAAAAGATCTAATTATCTACCTTCTGTGAAATTTTGAGTAATCTCCGTTGACCTGAAGTACTAATTTCCGATTTCTCAAAAAACGCATGTAAATTTATTAAATACTAATGATATTGCGCACTACTATGCACATTTTGTTTTGGCGTTCGCTTGGTGCGCAATTCTTTTTTCTACTAGATTTTAATCTATTTTTAAAAGTTTAAGTAAACAAAAATCATGTCTATATTCCGAGTTGCCATCCCACGTAGTGTTATATTAGAATATTCGAGAAAGTTTAGGGAGATCACTCCCTGTTTATTTTACTAAAATTTACTACATTTTACAAGAACCACCTATATTATTTCAGGCAATTTTCCTCTAGAATTTATTTGACAATCTTTTTATTAATCTTGAGAAAATATATTAACTATTTTGGAATAAATTTGAACAATTCATTACAAGTACATGGGATAGATTTAAAAGGCCAAAAGTATCGAAACTAATAAAATGGAATCGCAGAGTCCTAATGGTATGAAAATTCTAGTCCTATTAGGTTTTTTAATGCTTGCTTTAGTAAGAACTTTACTAAGAAACACCAAACTGTAAGAACTTTACTAAGAAACACCAAACTGTAAAAGTAATTTCAACAGCAGCACCGTGTCCAAAGATGTTTCTGTATACCATGAATCTCGAAACCTAAATCAAATACACTTTTAATAATTACTACATTTAAGTAAAAATTGTTTTGGTAAATTCTACTTTTTGTGAGGCAATAGAAGCTGACCGATAAAATATAAAATGCTGTTCAGTTACCTGGGACTGTACACCATTACCTTGCTGATTTTATCTTTACTTTCTAAACTTGTCCAACCCTCGGCTAGCGGATCATATCACCAAACACAAATCACCATTCACACTTTGCAACTGTTGTGTCAGATCTGCCCAAAAGCGTCATACATAGCTTAGCTTTTCCCTTCCCCAATGCACGAGTCTCTTATAGCTAAAAAAAGAAAAACATGACATGTGTTGTGGCAAAACCACTGTCGGAATTCGAATTCTATTCACACATAGTTCAATACCCGCAGTGTCAACACATTGTTCAATGCCCGCAGTGTCAACACATTGTTCAATGCCCGCAGTGTCAACACATAGTTCAATGCCCGCAGTGTCAACACATAGTTCAATGCCCGCAGTGTCAACACATAGTTCAATACCCGCAGTGTCAACACATAGTTCAATGCCCCGTGAACCTAAGCAAGGCGTATGTAACTAATGATATAATGATGTTCACAGAGTTAATCCTTTCTTATACCTGAACTACACATCATTTAGACTCTATTTACACCTAACCTACGCCTTACTGGCACCTGACACATAAACACCATATTATTTACACATCTGGTATGAGCCAAAGGGCCACTGACCCCCAACCTTACCTGTCCTTTATGTGTCTTTCTTTCGGGTATATTCTATGCCTGTTACTTTGGATTTTTGTTGATATGATGCGCTTGCTATTCACCTGGGCAATTTATTCCATGAATTAATAAATAATTCGTTGTTGGTACGAGCAATTCTATGGTGGACCACTTGCCCTTTGAGTTGTATGAAAGCAACTCTTGTTTAGCTACTGCTTCACTCTGTTGGTCAAATATTTCTTCTTGAGAGACTTGAAGATTTTTTTTTATAAACAGCGCTGGTGGAACTACATCTGGAGTCTAAGCAAGACTGAAGTCACCACATTATCTCCACAACGTTCACTGAAACATGTCTGTGTAGTCTCTGATGGAGATTTTTGTATTCTAGCTAAAGGCGAAAACAAACCAATAAAGAGAACAGCAAGGCTGTCATACAGTAAAACATGTTTGTTAGCTGATGCGGCTCAGCTAGATATACCGTTGTAGGGGCTCGACGCTAGAGCCATTTATAAATATGTGCAGCTTTAATGGCGTCTGTAGTTTAACTTAACGAAAACTTTTAAAGTATGGCATTTTTTAAATGACTGCTTTAATAGCTGTTTTATGTGGCACACAGTCAATGCAATATCTTGTACTTACGTAGCTAAAAGAATCAACACAATTTCGATGTTGTAACTATACTGTTTTACAACTTGACCTTAAGAGACACGCCACCCACTTATTTCATGAGTTTAATCAAACAAAATGAAGGTAATAATTCTTCATACAAGCGGAAATATATTTATTAGTAACAAAACAAACAATTTCTTCCTTTCTTCTTCTTTCTTAATTGTGACATTCCCGGGTCAACCTCCCTCCCCATATATATTTATACACCACTATTTAAAAAGTTATAAACAAAATGAGTGGGTCTTGAATACCATTACTTAAATTGTATAAGCAAACCACACTATTCTTATATTGTATATAAAGTAGTAGTGCAATAAAAAAATTAATTTTCTTCGATATATTGTGCTTTTAATAGTATGTTTTGCTAAGTTTTTATTCCCACTTTTTAAAACATGTTCACACTTAAAACTTTGCACGTCAAGCGTGGTTTAGGTCTGTGCTTTAAACGGAAGTCAATGTTTTGTTTTCATCCAAACAGTAGTCATCTTCTGTAGGGTGCAGAATTCTTGAATCCAATCATAATCAGGTAACGTTCTTCCTAATCTACTGAAACATAATTCTTTAAACCCACCATAATCAGGTTGGTAACGTTCTTCCTAATCTGCCGAAGCAGAATTCTTGTATTAGTAATTAATATAACCACCGTAAGACGGTTTCTAATTAAAGGAAAAAAGATTAAAAAAAAAAAAAAACATAACCATTAGGTTAAAGAACGTTTTGATGTGGTTGTGTGTGGCCAACATCAATGCAAATTTATCTGGCCTATACTACATAAGGAAGATCTAGGCACTGAGCCAGGTCATTTCCTTGTATTCTGTGCTGCAACTCTTGCTATTAGTTTAACTAAAAACTGCTTACACCTGAATTACAAATCTTTTAGAAAAATTGTAAAAAATTTCATTGTTATGTGATGTCCTTGTTATGTCACTGACTAATGCAAGTCATTTATAGGCGAGTCAAATACAAGATTCATTACTGCCGAAAATAATGCTAAACAGGTTTAAGGACACTTGTGGAAAGATATTACTGCCATGACGATCATGTAATGACTGTTGTCGTTCCTTACCACTGTTTTACATACTGATTTATTTCGTGTACGTAGGCTACAATTTTACATACTGGTTTATTTCGTGTAGGTTTTCTATAGTTTTACCTGATGATTTATTTCGTGTAGGTTTTCTATAGTTTTACCTGATGATTTATTTCGTCTATAGTTTTACCTGATGATTTATTTCGTGTAGGTTTTCTATAGTTTTACCTGATGATTTATTTCGTCTATAGTTTTACCTGATGATTTATTTCGTGTAGGTTTTCTATAGTTTTACCTGATGATTTATTTCGTGTAGGTAGACTACAGTTTTACAGCGACGAGTGTGTGAGTTAACTAAGGATTATCTCCCCTGAACAAAAGACTTTGGTTTTAAACAGGTTGAATACAACATGAAACAAGAGCTTGTCTTGATCACATTTCTTGTTGGACTGGCCTGCCTCTCATGTAGGTACAATGTTGATACACTAAAGAGTGTGTTTGTGGAACGGCCTGTGTCATATGTAGGTACATTGTTGATACACTAAAGAGTGTGTTTGTGGACTGGCCTGCTTGTCATGTAGGTACATTGTTGATACACTAAAGAGTGTGTTTGTGGACTGGCCTGCTTCTCATGTAGGTACATTGTTGATCTATTAAAGAGTGTGTTTGCCTGAACTGTTTTGTGTGTGGTGTTCATCATCATATATAAGAGCTGACATATAAATGGGGTTTTGATTAAAAGTGTGGGTAATGAAGTAGATGCACGGAAGTCGTTTCAGGGGTGGAGTGGTATTGATGTGGCCGTTGTGGAGCGGGTGTTATGGGATGGGAGGGTGGGGTGGGGGTCTTGCTGTCAGAAGAGAAGGTGGAGCGGTCTTTGGCTGTGTGAGTACAATGGGTTTTGTGGTGATGGTTGTGGTGGTTAGTTGTGTGTGTGTGTGTGTGTGTGCTCGGGATGTTGTGGTGATGGTTGCGGTGGTTAGCTGTGTGTGTGTGTTTCTGTGTGTGTGTGTGTGTGTGTGTGTGTACAAGGGATGTTGTGGTGATGGTTGCGTTGGTTAGCTGTGTGTGTATCTGTGTGCGTGTGTGTTCGGGGTGTTGTGGTGATAGTTGCGGTGGTTAGCTGTGTGTGTGTGTGCTCGGAATGTTGTGGTGATGGTTGCGGTGGTTAGCTGTGTGTGTGTGTTTCTGTGTGTGTGTGTGTGTGTGTACAAGGGATGTTGTGGTGATGGTTGCGGTGGTTAGCTGTGTGTGTATATGTGTGCGTGTGTGTTCGGGGTGTTGTGGTGATGGTTGCGGTGGTTAGCTGTGTGTGGTGTGTGTGTGTGTTCGGGTTGTTGTGGTGATGGTTGCGGTGGTTAGCTTTGTGTTTGTGTGTGTGTGTGTGTATTGTGTTGAGGGTCAGGTGTAGCAAGTCGTCTTATAGAATAAACCAGGACACTATTGTTGATCTGCTCGAGCAGATGAGGCTCGAAGGAGAGAAAAACCGGAAATCAAACAGGACCGGAAACTGTACTAATTTTGTAGTTCAACTGTTTTGTCTAGACTACGTTTGTAGTTCACTGATCTAATGTTTTGTCTAGACTAATCTTCCAATGACCCCATGTTTTGTCTAGACTACACATGTAGTTCACTGATCTAATGTTTTGTCTAGACTACGTTTGTAGTTCACTAATCTAATGTTTTGTCTAGACTAATCTTCCAATGACCTCATGTTTTGTCTAGACTAATCTTCCAATGACCCCATGTTTTGTCTAGACTAATCTTTTACTGACCCCATGTTTTGTCTAGACTAATCTTCTACTGACCCCATGTTTTGTCTAGACTAATCTTATACTGACCCCATGTTTTGTCTAGACTACTCCCCGTTCTTCCACTGAGAACACCTACTCTGTTTGTTGCAGTTACCTCCGGAGTTTGCATTGGAGGGTTTGTGGACATATGTAAAACACACGTCGATGATTGTACTAAAAACTCCTCCTGGTCTGCCGTAAGTATTGTCTAGTTTCATTCTCCCACCGTCTGAAACAACTAACACCATATAGTTGATTGCAAAATTGGACTATGAGCGTCGGTGGTTTTATATATGTGTCTATACATATACATATACATATACATATACATATACATATACATATACATATACATATACATATACATATACATATACATATACATATACATATACATATACATATACATATACATATACATATACATATACATATACATATACAGATACAGATACAGATACATATACATATACATATACATATACATATACATATACATATACATATACATATACATATACATATACATATACATATACATATACATATACATATACATATACATATACATATACATATACATATACATATACATATACATATACATATACATATACATATACATATACATATACATATACATATACATATACATATACATATACTACATATACATATACATATACATATACATATACATATACATATACGTATACGTATACGTATACGTATACGTATACGTATACGTATACGTATACGTATACGTATACGTATACGTATACGTATACGTATACGTATACGTATACGTACACGTACACGTACACGTACACATACACGTATACGTATACATATACATATACATATACATAAACGTTTACGTATACGTATACGTATACCTATACGTATACGTATACGTATACGTATACGTATACGTATACGTATACGTATACGTATACGTATACGTATACGTATACGTATACGTATACGTATACGTATACGTATACGTATACGTATACGTATACGTATACGTATACGTATACGTATACATATGCATATGCATATGCATACGCGCATACGCGTATATGTATATATATATATATATATATATATATATATATATATATATATATATATATATATTTATATATATATATATATATATATATATATATATATATATATATATATATATATATATATATATATACATACATACATATAAATATATATGTATATATATGAAGAGAGAGAAAGACATATATATATACATACATACATATAAATATATATGTATATATATGAAGAGAGAGAAAGACATATTTATATACATAATGAAAATATATGTATAGATATGTCAGTGCGGTCTATGTTTCACTGTACAGTGTCAGTCCGGCGAGACAACCCATGTAGTTCAGTAATGCGTTGTCCCCAGCTGTGTAATGTGTACAAGTATCCGACCTTGTGTTGTCCCCAGCTGTGTACTGTGTACAAGTACCCGACTTTGTGTTGTCCCCAGCTGTGTACTGTGTACAAGTACCCGACCTAGTGTTGTCCCCAGCTGTGTACTGTGTACAAGTACCCGACCTAGTGTTGTCCCCAGCTGTGTACTGTGTACAAGTACCCGACCTTGTGTTGTCCCCAGCTGTCTACAAGTACCCGACCTTGTGTTGTCCCCAGCTGTGTACAAGTACCCGACCTTGTGTTGTCCCCAGCTGTGTACAAGTACCCGACCTTGTGTTGTCCCCAGCTGTCTACAAGTACCCGACCTTATGTTGTCCCCAGCTGTGTACTGTGTACAAGTACCCGACCTAGTGTTGTCCCCAGCTGTGTACTGTGTACAAGTACCCGACCTTGTGTTGTCCCCAGCTGTGTACTGCGTACAAGTACCCGACCTTGTGTTGTCCCCAGCTGTGTACTGTGTACAAGTACCCGACCTTGTGTTGTCCCCAGCTGTGTACTGCGTACAAGTACCCGACCTTGTGTTGTCCCCAGCTGTGTACTGCGTACAAGTACCCGACCTTGTGTTGTCTCCAGCTGTGTACTTTGTACAAGTACCCGACCTTGTGCTGTCCCAAGCTGTCTACAAGTACCCGACCTTATGTTGTCCCCAGCTGTGTACTGTGTACAAGTACCTGACCTTGTGTTGTCCCCAGCTGTGTACAAGTACCCGACCTTGTGTTGTCCCCAGCTGTGTACTGCGTACAAGTACCCGACCTTGTGTTGTCCCCAGCTGTGTACTGCGTACAAGTACCCGACCTTGTGTTGTTCCCAGCTGTGTACTGCGTACAAGTACCCGACCTTGTGTTGTCCCCAGCTGTGTACTGCGTACAAGTACCCGACCTTGTGTTGTCCCCAGCTGTCTACAAGTACCCGACCTTATGTTGTCCCCAGCTGTGTACTGTGTACAAGTACCCGACCTTGTGTTGTCCCCAGCTGTGTACTTTGTACAAGTACCCGACCTTGTGTTGTCCCCAGCTGTGTACTGTGTACAAGTACCCGACCTTGTGTTGTCCCCAGCTGTGTACTGTGTACAAGTACCCGACCTTGTGTTGTCCCCAGCTGTGTACAAGTACCCGACCTTGTGTTGTCCCCAGCTGTGTACTGCGTACAAGTACCCGACCTTGTGTTGTCCCCAGCTGTGTACTTTGTACAAGTACCCGACCTTGTGTTGTCCCCAGCTGTGTACTGCGTACAAGTACCCGACCTTGTGTTGTCTCCAGCTGTGTACTGCGTACAAGTACCCGACCTTGTGTTGTCTCCAGCTGTGTACTGCGTACAAGTACCCGACCTTGTGTTGTCCCCAGCTGTGTACTTTGTACAAGTACCCGACCTTGTGTTGTCCCCAGCTGTGTACTTTGTACAAGTACCCGACTTTGTGTTGTCCCCAGCTGTGTAATGTGTACAAGTACCCGACCTTGTGTTGTCCCCAGCTGTGTACTGTGTACAAGTACCCGACCTTGTGTTGTCCCCAGCTGTGTACTGTCTACAAGTACCCGACCTTGTGTTGTCCCCAGATGTGTACTTTGTACAAGTACCCGACCTTGTGTTGTCCCCAGCTGTGTACTGTGTACAAGTACCCGACCTTGTGTTGTCCCCAGCTGTGTACGGTGTACAAGTACCCTACCTTGTGTTGTCCACAGCTGTGTAATGTGTACAAGTACCCGACCTTGTGTTGTCCCCAGCTGTGTACGGTGTACAAGTACCCGACCTTGTGTTGTCCCCAGCTGTGTACTTTGTACAAGTACCCGACCTTGTGTTGTCCCCAGATGTGTACTTTGTACAAGTACCCGACCTACGACAGTGCCTGCTCCACTGACCCCTGTCTGTACTCCATTGGTGACCACGTCCTGTCCTACTGCCACTGCTTGAGCGACCTGATCAGGACCAGGGACCTGGCTGGCGCTGAGTACTCATACCGTGTGCGCTTGGCAGAGGCAGTGTTCCCACACGTCCCAAACAGCATCTACTACCTCTACTCTGTGTCAGCAGAGGATGTCAAGCAGGTTGTTCGCTAAACCTACCGGCAGAGCAGGTCAAGCAGGTTGTTCGCTAAACCTACCCGACACATCAGTCCAAGATGGCTGTACACTAAACCTTACCGGGAGACAACTGCCAACAAACGAAGCAAAGGAGCAGCAAGCGTTCAACCTGCAATATTTTTATTCTACAGTTGGGTTTCTGCACATAACAAATTTTCGTATTGTTGTAACATTATAGTCGAGTTATTATGTATCGATGCTGGTCACATAATAAAGTATCGTATAGTTTGAACAAAATAGTCGAGTTATCAAGTATCGATCCTGGTGAGAATGTAGACCTATGACGTCAGAAGTGAGACATCTTGATGTGTTATTGATGTGATGAATTAAGTAGCCAATAGAAATGTGCGTATTATATTGATGGTATAAGTATAATATAGAATGAAAATGTGTTGACATCCATAGCGGATTGATAATTAAAATTGAATTGCTTATACAAACAGTTAACACATATACATAGATGTTAAAAATCTCTTATATCCAAGTTTATCCTTTCAGATAATGCCTTCCTCTGCTTAAAGATCCACAACTGTCTTGATATTCTCACCTGAGTCTTGTTGCTAGATGGTTATTTCCCTTTTCATTGCTGTATATTATATATATTTCAAAATATTATTGATAACTCATTAAATTATAGTTACTCAGAAGTTATGCCTGATGTTATTTACCCAAACTACATGTTTTACCAGCAATATCTTAACAAAATTATCACTGTAGAAGAAATAATTAGCTAATGAATTGTAAACTGGAGAATAAATAAAATCAACAAACACAACGCACACAAACACAATACAAAACAACACACACAAAAAATGAATGAGTAAAGTCAACAAACAAACAAAGGGCAAGGTGGTAGAGCTTACGACTGCCTACCCAGAAGTTTGGAGTTCGGGGGATTTGCTCAAGTCTATTAGTCGTCATTTAATCTACCCAACTGATGGGGACCTTACTAACATTACGGCCATAAATCTACCCAACTGATGGGGACCTGACTAACATTACGGCCATAAATCTACCCAACTGATGGGGACCTTACTAACATTACGGCCATAAATCTACCCAACTGATGGGGACCTTAAACTAAGGCCATAAATCTACCCAACTGATGGGGACCTGACTAACATTACGGCAATAAATCTACCCAACTGATGGGGACCTGACTAACATTACGGCAATAAATCTACCCAACTGATGGGGACCTTACTAACATTACGGCCATAAATCTACCCAACTGATGGGGACCTGACTAACATTACGGCAATAAATCTACCCAACTGATGGGGACCTTACTAACATTACGGCCATAAATCTACCCAACTGATGGGGACCTTAAACTACGGCCATAAATCTACCCAACTGATGGGGACTTAACTAACATTACGGCCATAAATCTACCCAACTGATGGGGACTTAACTAACATTACGGCCATAAATCTATCCAACTGATGGGGACCTCACTAACATTACGGCCATAAATCTACCCAACGGATGGGGACCTTAAACTACGGCCATAAATCTATCCAACTGATGGGTACCTGACTAACATTATGGCCAGTAGCGTACGCAGGGGGGGGAGCAGGGGGAGCGGCCGCTCCCCCTCTGGCCATTTTCAGCAAAGTGGCGCCTTTTGGAAATTTTTTAAACTCAAAGTTTTAAACAATGATATTTGTTAAAAAAATATTTTTGGTCGGCACATCTTTGTAAATCACAAGATTTCTTTTCATGCAGCAATTAAGCATTATTGTACTAATCTAGTAGTGTCTACGATAATCAGCAGCACCAGTTTGCCATTCTAAAAATAACCATTACGATGCATTGCAATGTTTAAAAAACCTCTACGGGTAGTACCACTTGGCAAGAGGGGTGTTAAGTTTAAAGCAACTGTATAATGTATTTGCTTACGAATAATTGAATTAGAAAATGTTATACATAAAACTTCACACATAATTACTTTATATATACAGTTTGAATCGTGTGATTAATTTTTTTAAAAATTACAATAACAGAAACAAATACAACTGATGTGGCATCTCTATTTAAATTTACTTATGAGCAAACTGCGTAGTGGTGGGGAAATTTCGACAAGGTCAACAATGTCATCACGATGAAATATTAGTAAAATATTAGTATTCTTACAGTTTGGGCGATATTGATTACGATTACAAATTATATGAAACAGTTACAAACCCCCTCCTCCATGGACCCCTCTGTAAAAAACCCCGAACTGATCTGTTAAGTACATGTAGAAAAAACGCGTAATAGTGTACCAAAGTACCATGCCGCCAGAAAATTAGCTTTTTAAACGTAAAACTCTGTGAATATTGTTTTTGCAATTACCAGTAAAAAGGTGTGTGATCAATACAGTGATCTAACCCATACCTATCACTATGTTAAAAAACGATCTTTAAAGAACCCAAAGAAGCAGTAGTTAATTAAAAATATGATCTGAACTAAAAGACCGATATTATTTTTCTTCTTTTTTTTCATACCAACTCTGATTTTAAAAACTTTCATTACGCTGTAATACTTTAGCATTTATGATGACGATATATTAAATTCTGATTATAGACAAAAGCATGTTGTAAACACGAATAGTGTTAATCAATTTCATTATATTCTAAAGTAATTATTTATTTGTTTTGACATTTATAATTAAATGTGTAGATGTGTACATATTTAAATTAAGAGAGTGATTATTTCCCCTATTTCACTTGTCTTAAATAATTTCCCAGGAATTATTATGTAAGAATTTTTTTTTACAAGTATTACAAAACAGATGGTGTTACGTTCATAGTTTTTGGTTGTAGTGTGTGTATATTTTTGTGTGTGTTTAGATTGATACATTTTTTGTTTTGTCGGCCTACATTGTGTGTTTTTTCTTATTTCTTCAGAGTGCTACTTTCAATTTATTTTACATCATAGCGAAGTAATGACGTACAGCTAGTAATTATATATATATATATATATATATATATATATATATATATATATATATATAATACACGTATATAGAGCGTGTTAAAACTTCGGCGCCTTTTTTTGCTCTTTTCGCTCCCCCTACAACGAAAACCTGGATACGCCTCTGATTACGGCCATAAATCTTTCCCAGCTGATGGGGACCTGACTAACATTACGGCCATAAATCTACCCAACTCTGATGGGGACCTAACTAACATTACGGCCATAAATCTACCCAACTCTGATGGGGACCTAACTAACATTACGGCCATAAATCTACCCAACTGATGGGGACCTTAAACTACGGCCATAAATCTACCCAACTGATGGGGACCTGACTAACATTACGGCCATAAATCTATCCAACTGATGGGGACCTAACTAACTAACATAACGGCCATAAATCTACGCAAGTGATGGGTACCTTACTAACATTACGGCCATAAATCTACCCAACTGATAGGGACCTGACTATCATTACGGCCATAAACCTATCCAACTGATGGTGACCTAACTAACATTACGGCCATAAATCTACCCAACTGATGGGGACCTTAAACTACGGCCATAAATCTACCCAACTGATGGGGACCTAACTAACATTACGGCCATAAATCTACCCAACTGATGGGGACCTAACTAACATTACGGCCATAAATCTACCCAACTGATGGTGACCTAACTAACATTACGGCCATAAATCTACGCAAGTGATGGGTACCTGACTAACATTACGGCCATAAATCTATCCAACTGATGGGGACTTAACTAACATTACGGCCATAAATCTATCCAACTGATGGGGACCTGACTAACATTACGGCCATAAATCTACCCAACTGATGGGGACCTAACTAACATTACGGCCATAAATCTACCCAACTGATGGGGACCTTAAACTACGGCCATAAATCTACCCAACTGATGGGGACCTAACTAACTAACATAATAGCCATAAATCTACGCAAGTGATGGGTACCTGACTAACATTACGGCCATAAATCTACGGGAGAAAACATCACATTAGTTGGCCTGATTATAAAGTTAGTTACGTTTTAATTTCAGAATTAATACGGCTATAATGCCCATGGCTTAAGGAAAAGAATATTTGTGTAAAAACAATGTAGCATCTATTTCTATAAGCACAGTTATTCTCCATTGCGAATTATTGTTTTACTTGAAACTTTTATGTCCAATATTTGAGCTTTAACTTAATCAAACTATTTTAACGTATTAATCTACTAATAAAGTTAATATAAACAAAAACACAATTTTATCCCATCTCAAAAACAATGACGGCAGCAACAAGATGTACACACTCACACATAGCTGTCCTTTGCGCACCAAATGAGATTTATAGTAATTTATAGCTGTGCAAAACGGAAGTTGGTCTTTCTGCGAACAATCAAGAAACAGCCTTCGTATAAGACTAGGCCTTTTAGCTTACATCTGTTATTAGATGGTGTCGATATCTAGCACATTAACATCCAGGTCAGTAATCTAAGTGGAGAGCTTAATTGCAATTAGTTTGAAATACATTATTCTAGATTAGATCTAGAAAATATAGATCTACTAGTTAAAGAATAAAGACAAACGCCAAGGATCTCTGTAAAGACTATTGTTTGATTTCTGCAGTTGTCTTTTGACGAGAGATCCCATATTTTAGCTGACTACGAAAAAAATATTTTTTTTCTTTTTTATCTATAATAGCCTAAACCAATGTTTTACATTTTAATATTAGTAAACTTAAAGCTTTAAATAGTTTAAAGTATTGAGAAATTTAATGATGTAGACCGGTTTTTTTAGAGGATAAGTCTACATTTTGTTTTAAATTTTTAAAAGTTGGTTTAAAGGTAAAATCCAGTTCGATAAACCAAGGATGATTGACGCTTTGAACGTAACTTTTAACACATCGCAGTTTTGAGTTTTGTAACAAAAGGGTTATATGCCCGACATTTCTGTGTAGTGTTGTTTTAATTTTTACAGAAGGTAACAGCGGATGGCTTCTTAGAAATTATTTGTCGCCTCATGTTTATATTCATATCGATATTTTTCTTCAACTAGGTCCACTTAGATAGATATTAAACTTATGATAGTCACAACTAAGATCAATATTAAACTTATGATAGGTCCCAACTTAGATCAATATTTAACTTATGATAGGTCCCAACTAAGATCACTATTTAACTTATGAAAGGTCTAATTTAGATCGATATTTAACTTATGAAAGGTCCAACTTAGATCGATATTTAGCTTATGAAAGGTCCAACTAAGATCGATATTTAGCTTATGAAAGGTCCACTTAGATAGATATTAAACTTATGATAGGTCCCAACTTAGATCAATATTAAACTTATGATAGTCACAACTAAGATCAATATTAAACTTATAATAGATCCCAACTTAGATCAATATTTAACTTATGATAGGTCCCAACTTAGATCGACATTTAACTTATGATAGGTCCCAACTTAGATCGATATTTAACTTATGATAGGTTCAACTTAGATCGATATTTAACTTATGAAAGGTCCCAACTAAGAGCAATATTTAACTTATGATAGGTCCCTACTAAGATCAATATTTAACTTATGATAGGTCCCAACTTAGATCGATATTTAACTTATGAAATGTCCAACTTAGATCGATATTTAACTTATGATAGGTTCAACTTAGATCGATATTTAATTTATGAAAGGTCCCAACTAAGAGCAATATTTAACTTATGATAGGTCCCAACTAAGATCAATGTTCAACTTATGATAGGTCCCAACTTAGATCGATATTTAACTTCTACCAGGTCCTGCCCAAGGAAGACAGTTGTTGAGCGTTGGATTTGTCTCCCTTTGATGCCAGAAACTTCTACTGGCTGGAGTCGACATGAATCAAACGTTTGTGTTCCTGATACTGGTTGTTGGTCTGTCGTTTGTCCAACGTAAGTCTAGTCCATCAAACTGGTTGTTGGTCTGTCGTATGTGCCACGTAAGTCTAACTAGTCCATCAAACTGGTTGTTGGTCTGTCGTATGTGCCACGTAAGTCTAACTAGTCCATCAAATTGTTTTTTGGTCTGTCGTATGTCCCACGTAAGTCTAGTCCATCAAACTGTTTGTTGGTCTGTCGTATGTCCAACGTAAGTCTAACTAGTCCATCAAACTGGTTGTTGGTCTGTCGTATGTGCCACGTAAGTCTAACTAGTCCATCAAAGTGGTTGTGGGTCTGTCGTATGTGCCACGTAAGTCTAGTCCATCAAACTGGTTGTTGGTCTGTCGTATGTCCCACGTAAGTCTAACTAGTCCATCAAACTGGTTGTTGGTCTGTCGTATGTGCCACGTAAGTCTAACTAGTCCATCAAACTGGTTGTTGGTCTGTCGTATGTGCCACGTAAGTCTAACTAGTCCATCAAACTGGTTGTTGGTCTGTCGTATGTGCCACGTAAGTCTAACTAGTCCATCAAACTGGTTGTTGGTCTGTCGTATGTGCCACGTAAGTCTAACTAGTCCATCAAATTGTTTTTTGGTCTGTCGTATGTCCCACGTAAGTCTAGTCCATCAAACTGTTTGTTGGTCTGTCGTATGTCCAACGTAAGTCTAACTAGTCCATCAAACTGGTTGTTGGTCTGTCGTATGTCCCACGTAAGTCTAACTAGTCCATCAAACTGGTTGTTGGTCTGTCGTATGTCCCACATAAGTCTAACTAGTCCATCAAACTGTTTGTTGGTCTGTCGTATGTCCAACGTAAGTCTAACTAGTCAATCAAACTGTTTGTTGGTCTGTCGTATGGCTCACGTAAGTCTAACTAGTAAATCAAACTGTTTGTTGGTCTGTCGTATCTTTTTACTGGTACCTAAACCAACTAGCTTATTTGTAACTTCTAATATATTCAATATTTCATCTAGAAAAACACCATTTTAGCAGTTTCCCCAAAAATATTGGATTTAAAATGTAGATAATAAAAGCACATCATTATATACTTTAGTACTAGCATTGTTTATGGTTTATCATTGAACTACAGTGGCTACGTGTGTAGACCGATAACAGCATCATCTTTATTACAGTGGCGGCCGGCGTTTGTTTGGGGATGTTTGTTGACACCTGTAAATCTCAGGTTGTCAACTGCAACCGCACTACGTCCTGGGATGTCGTAAGTACAACGTTACAAATTTATAGTTACCCGTGCGACGTTAAAATGTTTACTTGGCAACGTTAAAATAGTTTACTTGACAACGTTAAAACAGTTAACCGTACAACTGAACTATTTTAACGTGTACAATACAATTTACCAACATGATGCTAACATGGTACTTATAGCACGTACAAGTAGGATAGGTTCATATAAATGCCAAGTAAAAGATTGGGATATATTTTGTACTGCTGTTTTTTTTTAACAAAAGAACATTAAAAAACATATAAATACATACACATTCTTAAAAGATATTAAATACATGCACATTCTTAAAACATATTAAAATTATGTTATGGCTGCTAATGGTAGAAAAAAAATGTTAAACATAGAGTGAAAAATAAAGTTATTTACTTGAAAATATTCGTTTTTATTGTTGGGGTGGTAATTTTAAGGGAAACAACTCACTCTAAATATTGCTATTTAAGTTTATACTTATTTTGATTTACCTTTATTTTTTCTACCTCATTTCCTATTATGTTTAGCTATTATGTTATGATATTTAGTACTGTGATCCCCACTTACATGTTTTTCAAAAAATCCTGTTTGTAGTGGAATATGCTGTGGTGTATTTGAAATGGTGTGGGATAAGTGATAGGGTGTGAATAATGTGATTAGTAGGGTGAGGTGTGGGTTGGTAAGTGTGAAACAGTGATGTGCGGGTTGGCCAGTGTGGGACAGTGAGGTGTTGGTTGGCCAATGTGAGGTAGTGAGGCGTAGGTTGGCCAATGTGAGGTGTGGGTTGGCCAATGTGAGGTGTGGGTTGGCCAATGTGAGGCAGTGAGGTGTGGGTTGGCCAATGTGAGGTGTGGGTTGGCCAATGTGAGGTGTGGGTAGGTAAGTGTGAAACAGTGATGTGTGGGTTGGCCAATGTGAGGTGTGGGTTGGCCAATGTGAGGTAGTGAGGTGTCGGTTGGCCAATGTGAGGTAGTGAGGCGTAGGTTGGCCAATGTGAGGTGTGGGTTGGCCAATGTGAGGTGTGGGTTGGCCAATGTGAGGCAGTGAGGTGTGGGTTGGCCAATGTGAGGTAGTGAGGTGTGGGTTGGCCAATGTGAGGTGTGGGTTGGCCAATGTGAGGTAGTGAGGTGTGGGTTGGCCAATGTGAGGTAGTGAGGTGTGGGTTGGCCAATGTGAGGTGTGGGTTGGCCAATGTGAGGTGTGGTTTGTAGATGTTAGATTCTAATGTATGTTGTAGGATGTAGTGTTTTGATGGGTGGGGTGTGAGATGTTGGGGTTCAGGTTGTTGGGTGGGGTTCAGAGAGTGTGGTGACGTGTGGACTGGGGTTGTGTGGAGTGTCGTTCATAGTGTCGTGCTGTGTGAGGTGGTGTGCGTTAAGATGTGGAGTGTGGTGGTGTGGGCTTCGATCAACTCCGTGTGTTGTATTTTGTATGTGTGTTATTTGGTGTTTGATGAATCGTGTATGGTGAGGGATGAGTGATTGGGTGTGAATCGTGGTGTTAGTGGGGTCAGTTTATGCTATGTGTTGTAGTGGGATGTGTCGTGTCGCTATGGAGAGGGGTGTGGAATTAGACTAGGAGGGGCGGGTAATTGAGAGGGGGTAAATGCTCGGCTACAGGGTAAGATTGGGGGGGGGGGGTAATGTCCTGTCCCCGTACGTCTGCGGTACGTGTGTCTACTGTATTGCAATATTTTTTCTCTTGAAGCTGTGTGCCTTACAGCGGTACCCAACCCGAGACGAGGACTGTCCAGAGAGACCTTGTGAGTTTGTCAAAGGAGCGGATATCATTCCTTTCTGCAACTGCTTGCAGGACCTGGTCAGAACGCAGGACTTAAGCAAGGATGTCCGCTCCTATCGTCTCCGTCTGGGGGACCATGTGCTCCCAAGTTTGAGCACCCTCTACTACACCTATGTCGTGCCCCAAGATAAGGTCAACGAACTAGTCCGCTAAACCCGTCAGGAAGCATCGTATCTTTAGCTCTATATGAAATGGCCAGTGGTCAACTAGTATGCATAATTTATTCTTTTAATTTGTTTTACTTTTGGACTTAATAAAGAGAAACTTTAATTAAGATTGATTGGTTAGCTCGATTGTTTAATGTGGTACATGATTTGGTTGAGTGAATTGGAATGCTGATGATAACACCCTCATGAAGGAATCTGGATGTTTGTGTAATGTGTCATGTAAAGTCTCACTCCTGATTTTATTAACTTTGGTGTTATGGCAGCTGTAAGTATCAGCTGTTATTTGGTTGAGATGTACCCACATTTGCATCTGTTGAATATTTCCTGTGCAGTAGATCATGTAAGGTCACTTGCAGTCAAGCAGCTCTGGAGCCGCTTTCTAAACCAACTCGTTGGGTTTGTGATTAGTGTTCTCATCTTTCTTTCAACCCTCTGTTTTTTTTTAATGAGAACCGAAACCTTATGGTCCCTTACAGATCTATGCAAGCAGTGTATTGGGACTTTGTGAAAGAATTTAAAGACGTTTGTAGTCAAAACCAGAAAAAAAAGGGAAAGCTAACATAACCAGACCCAGCTACACAAAACTGACCACAGCTATACCACACTGACCACAGCTATACCACACTGACCACAGCTATACCACACTGACCACATCTACACCACACTGACCACAGCTACACCACACTGACCATAGCTACACCTCACTGACCACACTGACCACAGCTACACCACACTGACCACAGCTATAGCACACTGACCACACTGACCACAGCTATACCACACTGACCACATCTACACCACACTGACCACAGCTACACCACACTGACCACAGCTACACCTCACTGACCACACTGACCACAGCTACACCACACTGACCACAGCTATAGCACACTGAACACACTGACCACATCTACACGACACTGACCACAGCTACACCTCACTAACCACAGCTACACCACACTGACCACAGCTACATCACACTGACCAGACTAACCACAGCTACAACACACTGACCACAGCTACACCATACTGACCACATCTACACCACACTGACCATAGCTACACCACACTAACCACAGCTACACCACACTGACCACAGCTACATCACACTGACCAGACTAACCACAGCTACAACACACTGACCACAGCTACACCATACTGACCACAGCTACACCACACTGACCACAGCTACATCACACTGACCACACTAACCACAGCTACAACACACTGACCACAGCTACACCACACTGACCATACTGACCACACTGACCACAGCTACATCACACTGACCACAGCTACACCACACTGACCACAGCTACATCACACTGACCACAATGACCACAGCTACACCACACTGACCAGACTAACCACAGCTACAACACACTGACCACAGCTACACCACACTGACCACAGCTACATCACACTGACCAAACTAACCACAGCTACAACACACTGACCACAGCTACACCACACTGACCATACTGACCACACTGACCACAGCTACATCACACTGACCACAGCTACACCACACTGACTACAGCTACATTACACTGACCACAGCTACATCACACTGACCACACTGACCACAGCTACATCACACTGACCACAGCTACACCACACTGACCACAGCTACATCTCACTGACCACAGCTACACCACACTTACCACAGCTACACCACACTGACCACAGCTACACCACACTGACCACAGCTACACCACACTGACCACAGCTACATCACACTGACCACACTGACCACAGCTACACCACACTGACCACACTGACCACAGCTACACCACACTGACCACACTGACCACAGCTACACCACACTGACCACAGCTACACCACACTGACCACAGCTACATCACACTGACCACAGCTACACCACACTGACCACAGCTACACCACACTGACCACAGCTACACCACACTGACCACAGCTACACCACACTGACCACAGCTACACCACACTGACCACAGCTACATCACACTGACCACAGCTACACCACACTGACCAGACGAGACCACGACATAACAAAAGGAGACGCTAAAGAGGAACAGTAAAAAATTCTTGTTGGTTGACACTTAATTATAAACTTTACGTTACAATGCTGAATAAAGTGATAAAAGCTACCTTTATGTACACCTAACCCATTTCCCATTTCTATGCTAAAATATTTAGTACAACAAACCCATTTTTCATTTATGTACTAAAATATTAAGGATACACAAAATGGGCTCTACATAATCCTTGGGATTTTCCCATCATCTAAAAATAGATCCTTCTGCTGGAGCCGGAAGCTAATCGTAAAGGTAAATACCAGCAGTCTGTTGATAGGGTTTAGGGTCTCAACATATCTGCCAGCAGTCTGTTGATAGGGTCTAGGGCACGGGTTCCCAACCTGGGGGTCGCGACCCCCCTGGGGGTCGCGAAGGGCTTTCTGGGGGGTCGCCAACTGGTATACTAAACCTTATTAATTTGAAACAAAACATAAATATTTAGAAGAATTTTTGAAATTCGGCTTTACTAACATCGCTGGAAATGTAATTGAGAAGAAACAAAGCGCACTGCACAAAGTTGTTCTCAGTCACGTATCTATGAAATTTTCAAAACTAAAACGTCATTTGAGACGAGTCATTTGAAACACACCAAAAAAGATATGGAGTTCTTTCGTCGGTATGAAGCTAGTTGCAAACGCCAGAGACTAGATCGAACAGGAAGTTTTTACCAAGGAAACACAGCATTAGTGCAAGCATCATATGAAGTCGCGACAGAAAATGCCAAGCAAAAAAAAAACACAATAGGAGAAAGTCTCATCAAACGCTGCATGTTGAAGATGGTAAAGTTAATTCTTACATGTCCGTAGATGTTAAATAACACATTTTTATTGAAATTAAGCTTTCACCATTGTTTGCTTTTCAAGTTGATAAATCAACAGACGTCAGTTCGTGTTCGCAGTTGCTGGTCTTTGTCTATATTCCTTCAGATGATAGCAAAGAAGAGTTGCACTTTTGTGAAGATAGCATGGTGAAAATAAATACGTTTTTTTTAAAATTGGATGATTAAAATGGGTTAAAACGGCTGTGAGGGTTTGTACGGATGGTGCACCATCTATGTTTAGGTCAAAATCGGGCTTTCAGAAAGCAGAAAAGATTTAGCTCCCTAACCACTGCCCTCACCAATCGCCATCAAGACTCCATTGCTAGTATAAGTGGTAAATTACATAAAATCTGGAGCCTTCAAAGAACTGAACAAAGACCTGAATAAAGATCACGAGGTTCTGCTCTTCTACACTACAGTGCGCTGGCTATCAAACGAATTGTTGTGAATCGTGTTTTTGAATTGAAATCTGAAATCAAATTGTTCTTGGAAATGCAAAGGAAACAAGACCTTTTGGCATACTGAAAACGACATAGAGTGGTTGGAGAGAGTATCAAACCTAGCAGATGTGTTCGAACATCAACATAAGCATAACCTGAAGCTTCAGGGAAAATGAACGAATATTATCACTTTCCATGATTATCTCAGGGCATTTTTATCAAAGCTGCAAAATCGGCGAAAAAAATAAATCTTGGAAATATTGTAAATTTGAGAAACTGTAGTGTGGTAGATGAATCTAATTGTGAGATAATAAAATTTTGAAAGAAGAAATTTCTGGGCATCTTGAATCAAGTGAAAACGAACTGCAGCGCTATTTCTTTGAGCTGAAAAAAAAAAGAATCTGCATTGACGCATTATCCATTCTCTTCTTCCCTCGATGTTGCCAGCATTCACGGTTAATTACAAGATGAATTCTTTGATTTGCAGAATGATTCCGCGTACGATAAAAAACTGCACACTCCATTTTGGTGTAGTATTCACCATTCATACCCAAACGTAAAATTGACTGACTTTTCGAGAATAGATTTTCAACATTATTTATCAATTAAAAACAAAATTAAGATAATGATAATGACATAGGTTGGCGTTAACAAAAAAAATGCTTTAAAAAAAATTAACCACGAATGTTTAGTGAATAGTATGCAATTTTACTCACGGTATTAAAACAGTTATCAAGAGTAGTTGATATTGAAAGTCTACTAGAAAATGTTATTTTAGTGCTTATTAATTTCCATACTAATTTCGGCTTTTTAATTATATGGGGGTCGCGGGTCACTTAATTTTTATAAAAGGGGGTCGCCACTCGAAAAAGGTTGGGAACCACTGGTCTAGGGTCTCAACATATCTGCTAGTGAATGAAATACCAGCAGTCTGTTGATAGGGTCTAGGGTCTCAACATATCTGCTAGTGAATGAAATACCAGCAGTCTGTTGATAGGGTCTAGGGTCTCAACATATCTGCTAGTGAATGAAATACCAGCAGTCTGTTGATAGGGTCTAGGGTCTCGACATATCTGCTAGTGAATGAAATACCAGCAGTCTGTTGATAGGGTCTAGGGTCTCAACATATCTGCCAGTGAATGAAATAACAGCACAATGATGATACTAAACTATCTGTTGAAGATAGAAAACTATCTGTTGACATGATCTAGTGCCTAAACTAGTGAATAAAAATAACATCACAAGTTAACTAACACAAGTTAGCTTTCATACGATCAAGAATTAAGAACAGAGCTCGCTAATCCACATAGCCATCTAGAGGACAAAACACACATATATGCTACCTGTTTAAGGGACACAACTCACCTTATTAACCTCAGCTTACAATTTGTGTAGAATAGTGTACTTGGTCGACCAGCAGCGATATTGCAGACGTGTTTACCAGCGCCATCAAGCTGACAACGTGCTATAGACTCGAGTCTGGAATTCGAACTCAGAACTTTCGTGTTACCTATCGTTCGCTTTACAATCCGACCACGCCGTCTCATTCTTTTTAAAGAACTCTGCCCAAAAACATGGATTCTGATCACGAGGTTCTTCTTTTCTATATTGCGGTATACTTTTAAAAGAATGCATGGATGATACAGTTGCACATCTTTCTTCACAGTTGTTTTCCGATCATACACCACTCGTGTTTCTAAAAATTAAAAGTTGTAATAACTTTAGAGTAAATGATGCTGTTAATAAAGCTTTTATCAATTAGCTTATGAGTGCAGATAAACTTATCAGTATTTTAATTAAATTAAGACCATACGGGAAGTAAAAAAAATCAAGTATTTTTCTGTGCTTTGGGAATGATTTGGTCTAAACTAGCTCACACAATAAAATCAGGTTAATCCAGTTTTAGAGGAGGAAGTGAAAGATGATGTAAACATACCTGGTATTGAATATCATGGTGATCAATCCCATCTACATCCTGTAAAATTTGCCTGGGTTAAGAATGTTGCACGAACTAGTTGTGCCCATATACAACAGTACAAAGCCCAAACACAAAAATCAAAGCGCAAAAAAACCTATTCATGCTTACCGTAAGATGTTTGTTCACGTTTTTAGGTTTTATTAAAAAAATTGAATGTATGAGTTGCTTAGTGTAGAATTTCGTTCCTAGGGCCCGTAAGTACAAAAAGGGTAGCTTTTCAAGGCATTGAAACGGTTGGACTTGCACACACGATGCAAGCACGTGATAATATGAATCTCCCAGCGTTTTAGTTTCCTGATATTTATTACTTTATTAAAACTCTTTGTGACATTTCTAAGAAAAGAATTGTGTCCGTACTCTCTGAACTCCGGTATTACGAAATGTTCTTGTCTACCTCATTTCGAATTAACTTCAGATAAAAGCGATTTGATCATCCTTAGCTATAGCGATTTATATTAAACTATCTATTTATAATCACAATTTTAGGTATGTTAATCATCTGTTGGCCTACCTGCACAAGTGAATGAAACAATCAAGATTTGTTTATACTCTAGGTACCAGCACAATAAATTGAGATATCTTAGATACGAATTACACTCAGCCTCCACTGAAAACATTGCCTACTTCTTTTCTGAGAAATGTTATGTTTACAGTGGCGTAGGCAGGATGCTGTAGGAAGGTTAAACACCCAACTTCCTAAACACGCGTAGGCAGGATGATGTAGGAAGGTTAAACACCCAACTTCCTAAACACACGTAGGCAGGATGCTTTAGGAAGGTTAAACACCCAACTGCCCAAACACGTAGGCAGGATGCTTTAGGAAGGTTAAACACCCAACTTCCCAAACACGTAGGCAGGATGCTTTAGGAAGGTTAAACACCCAACTTCCCAAACACGTAGGCAGGACGCTTTAGGAAGGTTAAACACCCTACTTCCCAAACACACGTAGGCAGGAGGCTGTAAAAAGGTTAAACACCCAACTTCCCAAACACACACACATACATCATGGACTCCCATGAAGGTGGCATCGGAAAAAAAATTGAAGAAATCTATTTAGGGCAGCAGTAAGGTGATGTGAAGAAGGGGTTAGCTAACCCTCAGTATGACCCCTTATATAGAAGTTGTCTCATGCCGTCACTGTTATAGCTATTGACAATTGAGTACTAGAGTGGCTTTATGGCTACATGTACATTGGAGAAGAAAAATTGTGGATTCCATCCCCCCCCCCCCCACCCTTTGCAATGATCTATTCCTGACTACGCCACTCTATAAAAAATTGTTTTATTTGCTAAATCTGGGCGTTATTCTCCCAGCGTACCAGGAAGTACTGAGAAAGTCCCGAGGGTGAGGGTGGGGGGATGGGGGAATCTACCTTATAGGCCTATATATATTTAAACTTCTACCGACCAGCTTTGTGGTTGGTAGAATTACAAAGAAGTTTATATATCCATCATTGCAGCAGAAAGTTTCACTCGATCGAGAAGTAACAGACAACTAGCGGTGCTCAGGTATTGCTCTGTGTTTCAGATTGTCCTCACTGTTGAGCAACATATTTGAGTTCAAAGTTCAAGTTTATCATTCTGTAGTCCTCAGCTAAAATATAGAACACGCGTTAGATTTTTTCTACCTGTGTCTCACAGGTCTATCTATTTTAGTTCTTTGATACTTTTTGTTTTCTTATTTGTAAAGGTTTATATATTTTAGGTTTTTGATAATTTTTAAAAATCTTTTATTTGAAGTATAACGAGTATAAAAATTGTATGCACTCTAAACGTTAGGTTACAATATACTTACATGAAATATTTTGTATTTCCAACAAAAGAAGTAAGGATATTACATAAGTATTTTGACGGTGATGTTCCAAACTATCAATTTCATAACTAATTAGATCTTGCCATTGTTTTCCAGCCAAGTCAACCAGTATGTTGAGACGATTCGGTCTTCTCTGTTTTGTTCTGTTCTTCCATCACTCGTGTAAGTATTTTAAATTACAAGATTTCAATGTTAAACATATTTTTTTCAGTAAATTATGATCGCATTAGAACTATAGTGTAAGGAAATCAAAATAGTATTGGAAGATACGCAGTCGATCTGAAATTTAATAAAAATGACATAAATGTGTGTATTTGAACGTTGCTGGAATTATGTTTCAATGATGTAGAAATTAATTGTACGAGCCGACCCGCTGCGTATCATACGCCGCTATTTAGTTTTTTTTTTTCTACTTTTCAGTAATTTATAATTTGTGAATTCGACAGTACCAATGCTGCCACTGAAAATATTTGCTTAAAAACACTAAACCCCCCTCCCCCCCCCCCCTCACGTGAAAGCAGCCTCCTCTTAGTTACCTCCTCTAAGTTTAAAATCGTTTCAAACTAAATTATCTGCCCCTGATAGCCGTCACCAAACCCGTCTCTGTGATTTTAAAATGTAAACAGAGTGAACACCGCTCACCAGATCATGTGGGGGTGGGGTGGGGGTTGTAGTGATAGAGAGGAAGAGAGGGGACTGCAAAGGCGCGCTTGCAGCTTGTTTTCTAACTGATCCCAGAAGAGAATTATATATATAGATAAATGTGAGCGGGTGAATGGATGATTTATTTTGTATTATTATATTGTGTGCGAACCTGTGCGTGAATGGTAAAATGGTCAGCGGCTACGGTGTTTCCCTTTCCGCCCGAGGCGGGTATAAAAACTGACCGCTCGGATTTTTCCTTTTTTTTTTTTTTGCCTCGAGTGGAAAATGAAGATCGGGTCAGTTTTTGTGTGGGCGCTTGGCGCACCTCGTGCTTGAAGTGAGGTTGCTTTGCAACTTGGCTGGGTGTTTTGTATATATTGTTTTGTCCGTAGTGTTTTGTATGTTTTGTATGTATTGTTTTGTTTGATGTTTGATGCGGATATTAGATGGCGTTTCGGTGGCCGTAGGGGATAGGAAGGTTGTCTGTGTGTTCAGAGCCTAGACTATCCGAGGCATCGAAAGTGCATAATATTCCATCGAACGTTGTGTTTTGTTTGGTCGTGTTTTGTTCCGTTAAGTTCTGTTTTGTTTTGTATGTGTAGTTTATCCAAATCTATTCTTTTTCATTTAAATTGTTGGTTCCAATTTTTTTGTAAAATAAATTTCATAAATTGTTAAAGTTTTTTATTTTAATTTTTAGTAGTTACTTAGACTAAGGTTAAGAATAAGATTCAACCACCGTAGGTTTCACCACGGTTGCACTGACCTGATAAATTAGATAAGCCTAGATGGGTAGATAGTATAGTCATCCCCACTTAGCAGGGCTTACATAAATAAGGGCATTACTCGATCTAGTTCTAAATATTGCGCAACCTTCAAACACGGTTAATTAAACAATGTAGCAAAATCACAAGAGCATTTTAATACTAATAGTTTCGCTGTCTGTGTATCTATCTGACAAGAACGCTATGTCTGTCTATCTGACAAGAACGCTCTAGAGAAAACACAAGGAAATTAAAAACTTGCACAGTGAAACGAAAACGAAGTATGACGTCGTATAGTAGAAAATAATATCAAGCCAAAGAGTGCACATAGTAATATGACGTCATTGGTTCTCGGGTAAACATTGAATAAAAAGGCAATTTCGTCTAATCTAAGTGGTTTGCGTGAAGAGTTTCTTTCATACAGTGCTTCGGGTAGGGGCGAAGCCCCACCCCCGCGTAAGAACGTCTGAGCCCCCCGCCCCCCCCCCCTTCCCCTCCCCAACTCAAAAGAAATTTCCTCATCGATACTCTATAATAAAATTACCGCCTAATTAATGTGTCTAATCTAAAAAGTGGTTTTCTTGCAATGTATTTAATGCAATTCTTCGCGTAGTGGCTAAGCGCGACACCAGTGTTTCTTTCAGACTTTTTCCTCTCTTCCGGTAGAGGCGGAGCCCCGCCCAGATTCTTCCTTTAGTTTGTATGATTCTACAAATGCGACCAGTGTTTCTTTCAGACTTTTTCCTCCCCGGAGAGGGGTGGGGTTGCTTGAATTTTTTGGGGGGCGGGGTTTGAATTTTCGGGGAGGGGGCGGACACTGGAAAAAGTATATAATTATATTTCGTTGAATGGGACGGTATACATGTTTTTTAAGGGGTGGGGGTGGTGGGGGGGGTGGGGGTGTGGGGGGGGGGGGTGGTGTGTGGGGGGTGGGGGATGTGTGTGTGGGGGGGTGGGGTGGTTTTAGTTTAGAGAAAAGAGACAGCACTATCAGCCTAGCGCCCGGTGTATCCTTCCTCAACGGGCCATTTTTCTCGTTAATACTAATAGTTTCGCTGTCTGTGTATCTATGTATCTGACAAGAACGCTCTGTCTGTCTATCTGACAAGAACGCTCTAGAGAAAACACAAGGAAATTAAAAACATGCATAGTAATTCGAAAAACGAAGTATGACGCGGTCACATTTAGCATAGAGTAGAAAATAATCTCCAGCCGGAGAGTGCACACAGTAATATGACGTCATTGGTTCTCGGGTAAACATTGAATAAAAAGGCAATTTCGTCTAATCTAAGTGGTTTGCGTGAAGAGTTTCTTTCATACAGTGCTTCGGGTAGGGGCGAAGCCCCACCCCCGCGTAAGAACGTCTGAGCCCCCCGCCCCCCCCCCCCCCTTCCCCTCCCCAACTCAAAAGAAATTTCCTCATCGATACTCTATAATAAAATTACCGCCTAATTAATGTGTCTAATCTAAAAAGTGGTTTTCTTGCAACGTATTTAATGCAATTCTTCGCGTAGTGGCTAAGCGCGACACCAGTGTTTCTTTCAGACTTTTTCCTCTCTTCCGGTAGAGGCGGAGCCCCGCCCAGATTCTTCCTTTAGTTTGTATGATCTACAAATGCGACCAGTGTTTCTTTCAGACTTTTTCCTCCCCGGAGAGGGGTGGGGTTGCTTGAATTTTTTGGGGGGCGGGGTTTGAATTTTCGGGGAGGGGGCGGACACTGGAAAAAGTATATAATTATATTTCGTTGAATGGGACGGTATACATGTTTTTTAGGGGGTGGGGGTGGTGGGGGTGTGGGGGGGGGGGTGGTGTGTGGGGGGTGGGGGATGTGTGTGTGGGGGGGTGGGGTGGTTTTAGTTTAGAGAAAAGAGACAGCACTATCAGCCTAGCGCCCGGTGTATCCTTCCTCAACGGGCCATTTTTCTCGTTAATACTAATAGTTTCGCTGTCTGTGTATCTATGTATCTGACAAGAACGCTCTGTCTGTCTATCTGACAAGAACGCTCTAGAGAAAACACAAGGAAATTAAAAACATGCATAGTAATTCGAAAAACGAAGTATGACGCGGTCACATTTAGCATAGAGTAGAAAATAATCTCCAGCCGGAGAGTGCACACAGTAATATGACGTCATTGATTCTCGAGCAAACATTGAATAAAAAGGCAATTTTGTCTAATCTAAATGGTTTGCTGTGAAGAGTTTCTTGCACACAATTCTTCGAGTAGAGTAGAAAATAATATCAAGCCGGAGAGTGCACACAGTAATATAACGTCATTGATTCTCGGGTAAACATTGAATAAAAAGGCAATTTTGTCTAATCTAAGTGGTTTGCGTGAAGAGTTTCTTTCATACAATTCTTCGGGTAGGGGCGAAGCTCCACCCCCGCGTAAGAACGTCTGAGCCCCCCCCCCCCCCCTCCCTAACTCAAAAGAAATTTCTTCATCGATACTCTATAATAAAATTACCGCCTAATTAATGTGTCTAATCTAAAAAGTGGTTTTCTTGCAATTTCTTTAATGCAATTCTTCGGGTAGTGGCTAAGCGCGATACCAGTGTTTCTTTCAGACTTTTTCCTCCCCGGAGAGGGGTGGGGTTAATTGAAATTTTCGGGGGCAGGGGTAGAATTTTCGGGGAGGGGGCGGACACTGGAAAAAGTATATAATTATATTTCGTTAAATGGGACGGTAGACATGTTTTTTTTGGGGGGTGGGGGGTGGGGGGTCGGGGGGGGGGTGTGGGGGGGGGGGGTAGGGTGGGGAAGACGTCATTGATTCTCGAGTAAACATTGAATAAAAAGGCAATTTTGTCTAATCTAAATGGTTTGCGGGAAGAGTTTGTTTCATACAATTATTCGGGTAGGGGCGAAGCCCCATCCCCTCGTAAGAACGTCTAAGCCCGCCCCCCCCCCCCCTCCAAAACTCAAAAGAAATTTCTTCATCGATACTATATAATAAAAATTACCGCCTGTACAATGTGTCTAATCTAAAAAGTGGTTTGCTTGCAGTTTCTTTCGTGCAATTCTTCGGGTAGTGGCTAAGCGAGACACCAGTGTTTCTTTCAGACTTTTTCCTCCCCGGAGGTGGAAAGTTTTTATAATCTAAAAAGTTAAGAGTGCACAGTTTTTTCATGCATCTCTTCCCCGCTCAGGTTCTTCCTTTAGTTTGTATGATCTACAAATGCGACCAGTGTTTCTTTCAGACTTTTTCCTCCCCGGCGAGGGGTGGGGGTACTTAAATTTTTTTTTGGGGGGGGGGGGGGGTAGTTGGTTGACAGATGGTTGACAGATGTTTGACAGACTGATGACAAACAGGCTTTAAAAAAAATTATTTCTTCTGATTTCTCTCACGGATGCTTGGCTTAAGATTAATCGGCTAGAATCGGCTAGATTATTATTTAGATCATTAGAGGAGAGGTGTTTTGGAACTTTACGTCACCATTTGGAAGTAGAGTTTCTTCTGACTCTGTGACTTTGGCACATGGAGAAATCAATTTGTCAGCACCGAACAGCCGTTACTGTCCATAATGAGATTAAATTACCTGTTAAAGCTTAGTGGACTCAGTGACGTCATACGGATTTGAGGCACGGATTCGAACTTGAGAGTTTCCTGTTAGCAGTCGTCCACTCTACCATTCAACGAAGCCCTATCCTCGCTTTAGAATTTTGCTTGTAATATATCTCCGTTTAGCTTTCTATGTTCCCATGCTTTGTGTTACGTTAGATAAAATGCACTATTACTATTCTTACGCTTAGTA